CCACGCACACCACAATCTAATCCAATTTTTTTTCAGGGCCCTTAAGCGGGCCCCGAACCCCACGTCGTTGCCCCCCCCCCCCAAAAAAAAACACCAACAAAATTGTGTTTTGGATCCGCCATTGCGGAGGCCGAAGGACTCTCAATTTCACACCGCGTCGGAAAGGTGCCCCTTTTTTTCTGGAGAAGTGTCCCTTTTTTGGTGTAGCCCTCCCCCCCCCCCCCCCCAGCGTTCCTCAGCCCCTGAATGTCTCAAACCCTCTAGTTCATGGCCCATAAAATGCTTAAATAGCAAAACATTTGAGGGCAAACAATGTTCTTTAGTTTTTGTGGTAAAACCACAGCAAGTTTAACAACCCATTAAAGATATTAGGATCATTCTCCAGAATACAATTTTTGCATGACTTTAAAACAACTAAATCCTGTTATAAAGTGACAGGTAAAAAAACCTTTGCCTGAATGCATCAATTCTTCACTAGTAATACGTCATTAAATACTTTGCCATTAGCTCGTCCACATCCCTTTTAAAGGGCAGTGGTGACCTCTAATTTCCTCGAGCTCTCACCGATCTCAATTTTAATCAGTAACCCGGCCGTGCTGATTCCGCATGCCCATGGCACTTGTCCAAAATAACGCTTTGCGAAGTTTTTGCCAGATGAGACCGAAATTTAAATGCATCCAACAATGCAAATGAAGGGTCAACGTTGGTTTTTGATGTGTTGTCGTAACGTTTAAAGAAACAAAATAAAACTCAAAAAGTTATCCTTGTCTTTTCAATGTTTCTTTAGGCCTACTAATTTTTTTCCTTCTGGAAAGGTGTATGGCCCTGATTGGCCCAACAACTTGCTTGTACAGAACAATGAACGACCGTGCAGAGTTTTGAAAGTAGTGAGACATTTTTAGTTTTTCGTTCAAACTATCTCTGTCACAAGCACTGAATCGATCCCTGAGAACACTTAGCGGCGCCTGCCAGTTTTCCTTGCCCTATGCCACAACCAATAAATCTGGTCATAGTCTTCATATTACATCATATTTTTTATTCGAATATGTTACATTAAGGTTTTTTTGTCACTACCGAGTACGTACTTGGTTACTTTATTGCTACCATAAAATAAAATTATCCAGGTTACAAACTATCCAGGTTACAAAAAAAACGTTCCCCAGAAATCATGATAGACGTACCCATAACTGTAGGCCGGCCTTGCCAGCTACCAGCAAAAATAGTGTGGATTATAACGAATGTTTATTTGATATCGATTTTACTACCGGGACCAGTTTTACTACCCCATAAATTGTATCTTTTCCTTCAATATGTCATGATGTGGAATGAAAGTCTAGCGTTTATTGTGTTCTTATTCAACGTAGCCTTTTCATCGTACAGGGTGAGTTTAAAAAAAAACCCGACACCTAAATGTCGGGACTTTTGTTTTAGTGAAGTTCTGCATGTAGCCCTTTCAAAATCTAGGATACAAAAGCCAAATTCATATATAAAGCTTTTTTTAGTATAAGAATCATTCAAATCACTAATAAATGTACTTTTCAAGTAATACGGAAGTTTAAACGCAACCACTGTTTTAAAGTTCTGTCCACAGATCATAAGAAGGTTAGTGTTCTTTCAGCAAAACGAAAACAAATCACATAGGGATGTGTGTGAATTGTTTTCGTTTTGCTGATAGAACGCTCACCTTGTTTGTGATTCGTGGACAGAACTTTAAAACAGTGGTTTTGTTTAAAATTCCGTAACTTGAAAAGCACATGTGATTTGAATGATTCTTTTACTAAAAGAAAGCTTATGAATTGGGATTTTATATCCTACATTTTGAAAGTGCTACATAATATATCGGAGTCTTAAATAGCGCACGTATCTACCAACAATTAGGTACTCGAGACGCTGGAGATTATGTCTATTATTGAAAGGTCCATAAAGTTTATGAGAAATATTATGAGACCCATTATGTAGCACCTCACAATGGTGTACAAGTTAGTGTTCTTTCAGCAAAACGAAAACAAATCACATAAGGATGTGTGTGAATTGTTTTCGTTTTGCTGAAAGAACGCTAACCTTTTTTGTGATCCGTGGACAGAACTTGAAAAAGGGGGTTGTGTTTAAAATTCCGTAACTTGAAAAGTACATAAGTGATTTGAATGATTCTTGTACTAAAAGAAAGCTTAGGAATTGTGCTTTCATGTCCTAGATTTTTAAAGTGCAACATACACTAAAACAATAGTCCTGACATTTGGGTTTCGCTTTTTTGACTCGCCCTGTATTGAAACCATGCACCGCAATTTTGTATCATAAGTAATCGTAAAGGACAGTGTAGAAAACAACCATATAGTTGCAGGGAAATTGCTACTCAATTTTGTTTCCCATTTAGTATCAATGAACTTACTTGCAACCTTTTGTCACTGACGTACAAATATGATAGATACGGGTATAGATATTTTTTTGTATCTAGCAAGAGTGTCTCAAAATTCAATGGGATAAAAGGAAAGCAAATATTTGACTTAACCTCTATAAGTAAATTACGAAAAGATCTGTTGACGGCCTTGATGACATCACCGCATTCAACATTTGGAATATTGCAGGTACCATTACATTGAACGTCCTCTAAACAAACACTCTTCAAAACAGCCAGATCTATAAAATCAAATGCCACACAACAGAATATTTATGGAATCCTTGAAATACACCTTTAATTGTGTCCATTTTATCACCGCTAACATTTTTTATTCAAAATGAGGTGCATGATGGGTTTTGAAACTTAGCTAGTAAACTAAACTATTATCGATGTAGCATAATTATGTTTAGGTCCGCTCATACGTCCGACGCCTCGTATAGCTCCCACGCCTACTAAGTCCGAAATTCGGACTTATGAGGCGTCGGACTTATGAGGCATAAATTCTACCTCATAGGTACGACGCAAAGGCATTTTAAAATGAAGGAGTGTTAGCTTAAATAAACAACGAGCACGGTCAAGTCTACACTTTATAAGCGTGCTGTTGTTCCTGTTTTATAAAAAAAATGCACAACTGACATCATTCGGCCAGATTAAAATTCATCGAATATAGCGATCAACTGGATTTGACCATATTAGTGTTCAAACTTTGACTCGAAACGTCGAAATAAAAGGGCAATTTTACGAGAAGTTTCGCCCGGAAATGGGCCCGCAAAGAGGTTTTAGCTGAAGTGAACACAACAAATTCATATGCGGATGGCATCAATTGTGTGCTATGAATACAAAAATTCAAAGTGAAAGTATTTCATGAAATCACTGCATGACCCTCTTCGTCGACGAAGAACCGTGCATGACGATAGAGTGTACACAGCCTTGGATGCCATCGTTACACAGTGACGTAGCCATGATTTTTTTTCATTTCAGTGAGGCGGGGAGGGGGACGGCATTTATAAGGGGGCACCAAGGATGCACCCGACAGTCGTCCATATTGAATTGAAAGTTAGTAAAATCTTAATTTTTAGAACTTGTGAAGAGAAATGAAAGTAAGTTAATTTATAATAAAGGCCAGTCTACTTTAAGGACTAAATTAAAATTTGTAATAAAACATTCCCTAATGTTTAAAGACATATTTTAAAACAGAATGACAGTAAAATAAGGCTGCATTATGCCTGCATAAATAGTCTGGCGCCACCCCATGCAACAGTTAACAATTTGGAACTCGACGAAAATGGCCAACTCGGGAATAAGGCCCATTGGCCGAGGCGCGAGATCGCATAAATCTGCATGCTTTGACATATCAGACGTTATACAGGAGACTTGGCTCCGTGGATAACGGGTGATAGGGCACTGGGAATGTGTGGGGGGCGTGCCCCACAGTCCCCACCCCTTGGCTACGCCACTGCCGTTACAAGTCGTGTATGATTGACAGCATTAGAGGCCTACGGTAACATCTACATTAAAACTCATTGAATATAATGGCGAACAGACCACAGGGGTTAATCAACCAAATCAAAATTTCAATGCATTGGTCATTATATAATTATCTTATAAATTATGTTAATGTATTGCTAATACAAAGATTTATAAATGGAATATACATGATGCTGAATCACTAGTTTAATGTAAATATACCCAGAGAAAATGACAACGAAAATGAAACCACTTTACCAGAGTGCAGTACTTATTGTTGATCCTTGATTTCTGATTATTTTAAAGGGGCATTATGGCCTAACATCCCCGAAAATTTTATGCTTTTGGATGTTTTACCTATACTATTTATTTCAAAATTCTCGTTAAAAGGAAACATACCTAGATTTAATACAGTTCTCGAGAAAAGACGAAAAAAAACCCGGTTGTTTACATCGGACACGACGGACATTTCGATGTATACACATACGTATTTCAAGTTGTGTCTGTTCAAAGCTGTATACTAAAGGCACGTTGTGGGTGTGGTACATAACATTACATTACAAATGCACACATGTTGCTTCTTACACGTCCGCAGAGTTGAAAAACTGTGCGGCTGGAATCACAACTAGCACTGAACAGCTCGATTTTTCAGGGACAAAATTGTGACCCCCGAAATTCGTTTTTGTCTGGTTCTTGCAAGAATAACACACAAAAAAAACAGTTTTTAAAGGATGGTTGTGAGGACGTTTATATCCTGCCTTAACATGGTATTTCTATTTAATCTCATTACGTTTAAAACGCGATTTGTAGCCCAATTGGGGCGCATTCCAGGACGTGACATTCCTTTAAATAGTTCATTGTGTTATGATTATGCGCCTATCAAATGTTCCCCCCCCTCCCCCCCCCCTCTGCCCCAGGTCCGATGTTGGGATTTGGTCACGTTTTTCATGCCCCAGGGTGGGGATTTTGGTCACTCAAATTACATTGTTACCATTGGCGTCCTACATGGAAAGGAAATCACTAGTGCGCCCCACGTATGTATGTCGGGGCATGGTCGGGGATTTTCACTTTTGCCCGAGGGTTGGGGATTTTGTCACTTCAAAAGTGACAATCCCCACGTCTTGGGTGGGGCAGCCCGGGGGGGGGGAAGGGGTGGGGGAAACAATTGATAGGCGCATTATCTTAGGCTTGATCCGTTATAACAAATCACTTTCACATCACATTTTAAAAAGAAAGACACGTGATACTTTTCCAGAGACACGTGTAGACTTCGTACAACGTTATTTTGTAAAATCTTATGTGCACAAATGACATTTAACCAAAACACACTATCAACCATTTTTACCATTGAATATTTCGAGCTGTGCTGAATTACTGCTTATGCTATGTACGTAATATTAGACCCGAAATAGGGAACTATCATCACAATGTGAAAAAATGATAATCACCAAAGTGATTAACAACAATAAAACGTCTACATTATTACATTTTTTAAAAAGGAGCAAGGCTTACTAATATTTTATGTAACATTGAGCTCTACTTTTTTTAGTTTATAAAAATTCGAATATTAGTTTTGAGTCAATACCGGTGGGTCCTGCAATCTTATGGAGGCTTCATCAGACGTCATGGTTTGAGCCCGACTTTCGGCAGAGGTACTACACACAGAGGTACGCGTCACACTGCTTGAGATGGTGGAGATATTCTGAGCTTTCTTGTTCTTCCTTCGCGACTTCATGCCCAGTTTGCCCCTCCACAGATTCCGGATGCGGATGTTGCATCCGAAAGATATGAAGATGAAGACCCCCTGCAGCGAGTTCAAGATGATGAAGAGGTACCAAATGGCCTGATGGTCAATGAAGTTGCCAAGGCACCCGAAGATCCAGGTGAACCCCATAACACCAGATATCTGGTTGAAAAGATATAACGATACAACAGTGTTCAACTGTAAATGTAAACTGAAACAAAGGAATATTCAAGTTAGGATAGGGATACGCCAAGATCATGAAACATTGTCCTTTAAGGGTCCGTGTAATGTTTTTAATGTTTTAAATTTTGAAAATGCACTTTTTGTGCCCCATTTAACCATATTTTTAATGAACATTTTGCCATTTCAAGGACGTTTTGGTGACTTTTAATCTTTCATGCTCACGAACATTTCCACGATTGTATAATTCAAAGTTTTAATTTGTGAAAATTGTCATGTTCTCATGATGAATGAATGAAACGAATGAAACGAATGAAACGAATGAAACGAACGAAACGAACGAAACGAACGAAACGAACGAAACGAACGAAACGAATGAAAAGAATGAAACGAATGAAACGATTGAAATGAAAGAAATGAATGAAATGAATGAAATGAATGAAATGAATGAAATGAAAGAAATGAATGAAATGAATGAAATGAATGAAATGAATGAAATGAATGAAATGAATGAAATGAATGAAATGAATGAAATGAATGAAATGAATGAAATGAATGAAATGAATGAAATGAATGAAATGAATGAAATGAATGAAATGAATGAAATGAATGAAATGAATGAAATGAATGAAATGAATGAAATGAATGGAATGAATGGAATGAATGGAATGAATGGAATGAATGGAATGAATGGAATGAATGGAATGAATGGAATGAATGGAATGCATGGAATGAATGGAATGCATGAAATGCATGAAATGCATGAAATGAATGAAATGAATGAAATGAATGAAATGAATGAAATGAATGAAATGAATGAAATGAATGAAATGAATGAAATGAATGAAATGAATGAAATGAATGAAATGAATGAAATGAATGAAATGAATGAAATGAATGAAATGAATGAAATGAATGAAATGAATGAAATGAATGAAATGAATGAAATGAATGAAATGAATGAAATGAATGAAATGAATGAAATGAATGAAATGAATGAAATGAATGAAATGAATGAAATGAATGAAATGAATGAAATCAAACATCATCGAGGTGCAAAATGTTCAGTAAACATCAGAGGCCAATACAAAATACATGCACATGAATCTCGTAGATCGCATCACATGGGCAGCGGAGGCAAGAAACACTGGTTTCAGAGGCCGACAATGAATACATGCATGGGCTTTTATAGAGTCCGACATGGTGCATGACCATGAGATGCAGGGGGAAATCATGGACCTCAGAGGTCGATGCACATGGACTACAAGGCCTTGAGACGCCTCAGGGCCTCATAGGCTGACACAAAATACATTAACCTGTGAGACCGAAAGAACTTCTTAGATCTGTGCACGAATCGTGGATGCCGAGTTGAAAATGAAAGCATAAAATTTAGATGAAAATGAATGAAAATATATCAACAAATTACAATACATGACCTCATGTATCGTGCATTCCTTAAAATCGTCGCAGAATACTTGATAGGTGCATTTCAAATGGTAAACATAACCCACCTTGAAATAAATCCACAGCTCTCCGAGCGTCTCCTGTGATTTGGATTTGTCCTGCCGAACCATCGCCGCTGCTGCAAGCGATGCGTGCACGCTACGCACTGTCAAACCAAAAAGGACTGCGTTAGCAATTAGGCTGCATATCATCGGAACTATAAACGCACCAAGCACCGCATATTTGCCGATCACCCAGCAGGATTGCTCTCCACCATACTGAAACCCAACATGCTGACCGTCGACAAAGTGGATAACGAGGCACGTGGTGACGGCCAGAAGCGGTAAGCCCCATCCGTACAGGCAGTAAGTGAAGAAGACTCGCTTGTTAGGACGAGCAGCTTGTCTGGAAGTGAAGGTCCTCATGAGGTCAAAGGCTAAAACATTCATCCAAGTGAAGGTAGCTAACCATAGAAAGTGCATCAAGACGGCCATACTGATGCAGAATGTTTGGTTCTCCGCCTTGTCCAATACTGTAAGGGTCAGAAGCTGAGCCAAGAACAGGGCACCAGTTAGACTCATGATGGCCCCACCAGGGACGTTCCTCAGAACTGGGAACACACAGTAGTTGGTGAAAGTTACCAAGAGAGCTACGACGGATAAACAGTAACCGATAAAGTTCACTAAAGTAAGTGGGTCTGAGAATGAAATGTAAGGTTCTTTTGGAGCCGAGAAGATACTGGAGCAGATGAGGATCCAACCATCGGGCAGGCGAGTTACCTGGTCTTGCAAAAACTTCCTCCCTTTGTACTCCAGCCCTAGTTCACCGTCTTCCGTGCTCACAGTCTTTGTTTCTCCAGCATGGGGTAGGCGGCACTCGTCGTTCTCAAACGTTTGTCCGCATACAGATACCCTGGTGTCTTTAGCTGAGCCATTGAAGACTGCCATCTGATAGTTGTAGCTACGAAAGAAAGAAACTGACTTCGCTTCAACGAGCACTCCACCACCGACATAAATGACCTGGACGCCACCCATGCTGAACACCCTAGTATCTGCTGCCCGAGCGGTAAACACGAGATGCTCACACTGCAACTCACTGACGGTTCCATTGATAGTCACGTTCTCTGATGTACCACATACCTCCACAAAATCAACCTGATCAACTCCACATCTGACGACCCATTCCCTTGAGCTACCTTCCTCATATGGAGGCACGACCGTCAGGTCCAAGATTTCCTCGAAATCTGTGATATTAGTGACATATTCAGTGATCAGCTCTGTCATTTCTCCATCAAGTGCTTGCTGTTGGTGATCGATAAACGAAGAATAGAAAGGCCATGTCAGCTGAATGTTCTGCCAGCCGAGTGTGTTCAGGTAACATTGGGTAACCTCCATCACTGAAGAGTTTACTCTGTACGTTGGCAGTACGTGTAGTTGGTAGTGCTTGTTATAGCACTTGATTTCATCCTGCAACTGGAGACTCGTGGATGCTTCGGGTGCCCACGGTTCAGGTACCCTACCTAAAAGCACTTCAATATGGCCTGGCAAAACGTGCGAAAACACAAACGGACAGTAATCCAAGGTAGAGATATTCACTCCGTTGCAGTATGCACAGTGTGGATTCTTGTACTTCAACCAACCAGATGTTTCGATAATAATTGCAGAGTATGACTGACATCCAAGAGCTATCTCTGGGTTCACATCATCCAAAGGACATACACCGATCCCTACATCATACTCATCAATCCAGTAAAAACTAGAGTCAGTTAGCAGATATGAGCTCGCCAAGCCGTTACATTCGGCACAGTGTAGATTCTTGAAGAACATCCCTTCTTGGTATTTCATCGGACCTGGGTAGGAATTATTGGCACACTGCAGAGCCACTGCAGTGTCATTCCAACCTGGGCTACATCCGTCTACTATGACTGTCCGATCCCAATTGACCATTGTACAAGTGAATGAGCCTAAGGACAGTGATGTGTTGTTGTCCGGGTCTTCGTGGAGAGAGCACCGTTCCTTGTAATCGTAACAGCAGTCGCCACACAGGATACAAACCGCATCACATCCACACAGTTCGTCGTCAGCGGGACTTCCACAACGTCCAAGACACGTTTGTTTGGAACAGGGGAAGACTGTCAGGCCGTACATCGTTACACCTGAGTCAAGTAAAGAAAAAAACAAATCTTCTTGGTTAAAAAATTACAAACACATATTTTTGGAATACTAGAATAAAACCACATGTTTTAGTATATTCCCATCAACAGACTCTTCCATTAGTTTAAACCTCAAGCGTATATTTTCTTGTTTGTTTCATCAGTATGTAAGGGCACTAAAAGGTAAAACCATATGAATGATTCAGAGCCATAGGAAGCAATTAGGAAGCATTTACCACCCACCTGTGTCAATAGGATTCAGGTTGAGACGTGTATTGGGTTTATAAGCAGCCTTCCCTGTTTATAAGGCTTTGTCTGGATAATAGTTCACAATTTAGTTTCGCCCTTCACAGATGTATTTTTATAAACACTGCATACTCAGTGTTGGCCCTGAGTGATTGTGAAAGAAAAATCACTTGGGTTGACCTCCAACCCACAACCTCCTGCTTACTTCTAGCGCAGACGTCTTACCACTCGACCGCCGAGCTTGCCGGGATCGGCTGACTGGTTCGAATCAGATATAGCAGCGCATGCCGCTATGAAACAATTCATAAGATGGAATATGCGTCGGGATGATGGATATTCAAATACGTCGGTGAAGGGCAAAACCTTATTTTGAAATTACACCATCCAGACGGAAATTCCATCTTATGAATCGAGATAATATTCCACTCACGCTAAACATTTTCCCCTATATCCTTACTACCATCGCTTCGGACGTTTCAGCAAGTTAACATTGTATGCCTAGTCCATACCTGTTTCACATTCGACGTGAAGGAGTTCATATTGATGACGCTGGCAAGCGTTCTGGCCTCGTACCCATCGTACTTCACCAAGAGATGAACCCAAGAAAATTTCCCTCATAATCAGCTCCTCTCCGGTGTTGACGTAGCCAGGGGACTCTGAGTATGGGATCAGCTTTGAGACGAAAGCCCAGGGATACCCAATACTACGGCATGCTTGGTCAGCAACAACTCCCGCCCGGTATTCGTTGACAACTTGCAGACAAAGTGTTGCCCAAGTGGACCCATTGTATCTGGCTTCCACTATGCCCATGTATTGGGATCCGTTGCTGGTATGGCCTAGACGATACTCAACGCTAGCGTCAGAAGGAAGTATATCATTTTCTTCGGAGGGAAAAATGAAAAGAGAAATAGCCATATACTGTCACCACCTTTCACGTCAATTATATTGAAATAATAAACCTCATTGAGCCCATGTATTATTTCAACGACAGAAATTTTGCCCCCTCTACCCTCAGTGCGTCTGAAAGAGAATTGCAATTTTACACAAAATTATGTGGAGACCGTACCTGTGTCCTACAACAGTTTGACTAAATTTGGTGCGTGCGTTAATTATGTACCCAAATCGTTATTGGACATTATTAATACAGATGAACAAAATACCCCGAGTCTAAAACATATGAGTGTTACTTTGGGCAGGGCATGTAAGGCTGTTTTTCTTTGTCTTGGGCAGTTTTACTGACATATCCTAGGGATAGTTATACAAAGATTCTCCCATATACAAACACAGATGAACAATTAATGCACCATTTTTTACTAATTATGTCGCACCTGTCGCGCAGACTGCTCCGAGTAAGGTGATGTTCTTATCTGGGCAGAGATGCATACTTTGCTCATCCAGGCATTGAAAGAAGCCTCTTGATCCGTCATAAATCGGGCAAGCAGAGAAGGAACACAGTATCTTCTGGTTGTTGTTAACCGCTGGCTCTTGTGTCACCCCAACTGAGAATTGGTACCCAAGGTACTGGCAGACACTGTCGGAGTACATAAAGTTCGTCCCCCCTCGGGATGATAACAGCATCCACTCATATCCCCCAACGTGAAGCTCCACTCTTCCCTCACTCTCCCGTCGACCTCCGACCAAGCGGATGTTCCCTATGGTCCGAATACAAACACAATTCGGGCGATTCACAATGCAGTGCGCCACCAAGAGTATGCCACGGAGAGTTTATTTTTCCCAATGCATTGTGGGAGATGGTCGACAAATTCGCAGCGCGGGACATTTGAAATTGTTGGGTTTTTTTCGGTCAGTAGTTTCGTAAGCGTTTGATTCCAGGATCTGTTTGCCCTTTTCTTTTTTTCTTATCAATATGGTGTTTTATGTCAGGCGGCAGAACGCTATGCTCCAATGTTTAACATATTAGCTCAAGTTGTCTTCTGACACTCATTCAAATGGACCATGTTTTGTCGACCGTAAACCTAAAAAAAATGACTCTCCATGGCAAACTCTTGGTGGCGCACTGCATTGTGAATCGCTCGAATTTATTGAGTGGGGGAATTGTTGGTACTAAGCCCTGCAGTTTTGTTTCGTCTCGAGAGAGCAAATTTATGCTCGAGGGGGCACATTTACGTCCGCAAGAGGGGCACTCGGGTAATTTTTGTGGGGGGGGGGCATGTGCCCCCCGGTTCCGCCGCCCCTGGTACTATTCTAAGTCGAAGGCCCTGCAGGAATTAGCGCAGGGAAAGTTCACGGTTGCACTTAACATGTTGCAGTTAGTGAACGAATTCACTGGAAAAAGCAAGTCATTCGCACTGGATAATAACTTCAAGTCATGTCAGAAATCCAATTGATATCGTTTTAGGTCGAGAGATTTGCATGAAATGCAAACCGTAGTTGTTTATGTTGAAGGGAACTGCGTTCTCGTTTTTTTCACGAAATTATATTGGTTGGACAGAGCATTTAAAATATTATAAACGTCCACACAACCACACTTTAAAAATTGGCCGTTTTTGTGGAATACTTGGGAGAACAATTTCGGGGGTCACAATTTTGACTAAAAAAAACGAGCTGTTTGGGTGTGCCAGTCACGATTCCAGTCGCACACGTTCCTTCAAAAAGAGTTCTTCTTTTTTTTTATAAAGAAAACACGTTTCTTCTGATTGGTAAATTTATCTGCTAGTTTTAATGAAAAACCACCTGCTATTGTTTTAGATTAATCAAATTACCACTGCTTTCTCAGTTTTCTGGGAGTTTACTTGCGAGCAAATTTATAGCGTATGGTTCCACCTCTCGGGCATCCGCTGCCTGATCCAAGTACAAGTACATATTTCTCCAGCCATAGAATGCAGGAGAAACCATAGTAGATTTCAAAAATTCCCAGGGGCATGTACCCGGACCCCTTCGGCACGCCTTCACTCAAATACGCCCCTCACCCGTTTCCTGAAAGTAAAAGCTAGATCCGCCCAGTGGCGTATCCAGTGGGGGGTTTGCCTCCCCCCCCCCCCCCCCCGGCGGATTTTTATTGACAAATATTTGGCTGTTTCGGCAACCGGCCGAAACAGCCTTTGTTTTCGTTAAAGTTATTTTTTGGAATTTGGAAGATGGGTACGTAGCTTGATACACTACTGGATCACCCGCCCCTGATGTAGGGAATCGGTGCTTCGATTGCAGTGTAGGGAAGTGCGGGAATTTTAAAGGTGAGCGTTCTTTCAGCAAAACAAAAACAATGTGTATGAATTGTTTTCGCTTTGCTGAAAGAACGTACACATTTTTCTGTGATCCGTGGACAGAACATTAAAACGGTGGTTGTTTTTAAAACTCAGTAACTTGAAAAGCACATAAGTGATTTGAATGATTCTTGTACTAAAAGAAAACTTATGAATTGGGCTTTCATACCCTAAATTTTGAAAGTGCTAAATGCAGAACTTCACTAAAACAATAGTCCCGACATTTGGGCTTCGGGCTTTTTTACTCACTCTGTATTGATGCGGGTATTATAGTACACATGCACATCGTACATGGAATCTTTCAACATTTATGTAAAGAGAATTTTGGGGAAAATTAGTCCTCATCCGAGGAGACTTCGTAATTGCCGAAAATACGTACGTATAGCGTGTACGCGTAAGAAGTATACAACCGGGGTTTTAACAGTTCTCAAGAACAGTCAGACATTGGGTTCCTTTCAACCAGACCTTTAAATTAGGATAAGTAAACAATCTAAAACAACCTTTTTAGGTGGTTTCTGGACCATGTGACCCTGTAACTTCTATAGAATGTATTTACAAGGGAAGTAACTCAGTCAGAGTTCATTCTTTTTATCGAGAGGATTGTTCATGGAATATAGCATGCACTGTTTCTATTTAGAAGTTTCTTGCTCGGAAGATTGCGTTTGCATGATTCATTCGTTTTTCATGAACAGGCCATACGGAATACAATTTGAAGGTTTACATGGTAAAGTCAGTAATTATAGAAACTTCGCTGTTGCACCGTGTGACATGAATTTTCTTGACGTTGGCCAGAGCATACCGTCCGAAACGTTGAAATCCACCGGTTAGTCTTCTGTATAACCGCCATACAGATCCTTGTCATGTGATTGGTGGAACTCACATCACGTGACATGCGTTATTGCTCCCATTCACGCCGCGGCGCAAAAAGTACTATCCGCCCATGGGGTATGGGAAATACTCATAGATATAGAATAAAAAGACTAGATCGGCAGCGCGTGCATACGCGCCATAGACTGTGCACACATTTTCCCGTTCCGTCGTAGACGCTCTACGCACAGTAGTGCGTGGGGCAAAACGTGCATTACGCGCACCTACATTCCCGTAGGTTTGTGCACAAACTTGCATTTTATGTCTGTAAAAGTAACAAATTTTACCAGTAATTATTATGTATCCAACAAAATTCAATATGCATTTTCAAGCTGGATAGTCACCTCGAAGTTTGCTCCATTTTCCCCTCGTATTTATTTTTCGTTTCAAAATGATAGTGCGCGTTGCTAAAAATCTCCAAATAAATGTCAGCTTATCTGATAAAATGTGTATAAAGACATTGTTTATAAACAACAATGAAAAGGAAAACGCTGAATGTAAAACCTGCATTAAATTACCGTTGAATTATTTAAGAAAATTGTGAAATGTTTCAATGGATGATTTTAGAGATTTGTGTTACAGTTATTATCTTTTTGGGATGAGAACAATTTACTTGGATTGCATTATAATTATGTCGGATTTTTAATGACAATAATATTGCCCCTGAAAACCGTTTTAAGAATGAAATTAAATTACACTCCCGTAATGTTGCGGACTTCTGAATAACCTAATTAACCCCTTAAGTTTATTTACATTGTGCTCTACTTTTAGTACCCATTTTGTATAACATTGTGAGATTCTTGCGCCTTCTTGAAGAGTTTCAGATGCTGGATACGCCACTAGAGGTCCAGAGCAAAATAACACAAATTTGTTTGTTCTATTATTTTTTTGAGAATATGTTAGTGAAGGGCTGGGGAGGGGCGTGCATCCCCGGCCCCCAGTATCCGAACAAAACTGCATCTGATTACGGCGAATGTCATACCCTGAGGAGGGACAATGAAGACAAAACAAGTCTGGGTGTTGTCCCTTGAAGCTGCCGTGAATTTAAATTAAAGGACAGCGCAACAACTACGGAAATAAGACTTTCAAAATAATCATTGTTCTGTTTGTTGATGAAGAAAATAACACTCAAACAGCTGGATGCAAGGGTTTTTTTAAGCAACGCGCACCAGCATTTTAAAACGGGAAATAAATACGAGAATTAAAATGGATCAAACTTCGAAATGAGCATGCAGCTTGATAACCCATTTTGAATTTTGTTAAGGAAATTACTACTACAGGTCAAAAATATTACGTTTGCGGACATAAAAATGTGTCTTTCCATACAAACCTACGGGGAAAAAAGGTGCGCGTAACGCAACTTTTGCCCAACGCGCTAAAAAATGGCGCCGCCCATGGCAGAAAGCGCGTCTGTACGCACTGCCGATCTAGTCTTTTTATTCTATATCTATGGAAATACTATTCAACAGTTAGGATCAGTCTTGTTCCATGACGCGGTATTTGTGTGCAAATGCATGCTGGTGTGCGCGTTCAGCGTTGCGCGTAGCGCGTATTGTTCCAAAGAGCCAGCGCTACAGCGTTGGGTTCAAACATTTTCGTGAAGGGATGGTTTGGAAGAGAGAAATACATTTCCCTCCAGTTTTGTATTGAAATAAAAGTTCAAATATATCAAATGACAAGGATCTATATGTCAGTTATATAAAACAAATATTGAGTGGCTTTAAATTGTGAAATGGGAGGAATATATCGCTCGGTAAAATCTGGGCATTTCCAATAGAAACGTCCAGATTTTACCTTGCGATAATATTCCTCCCATTCCACGCTGAGCCACTCAATAGTTGTATGCCGGAACACACAAACTCAAAGAGATTCATACTACACAGTGCAGCCGCAAAAGGGTTTTTTTCAATAGTTTGGTGAGAAGTGTTTTCTTAAGATGGAACTTCGCGTCGGGGTGAGGTAAATCAAATTAGGTTTTGCCCTTCACCGACGTATAAACACTGTATACTCACTGTGTTACCTCCCGAGTGAAAGCTGGAAAAACAAACAATCACACGGGAGGTAACACACTATAAGTAAGAGTATAAGTATTAGGCGAGCCCTCAAATTAGAATCCCTCCTCGAACCGTTCGGGGTTGAGCCCGCCCAGTATGTTGAAGGGATTGGGACCTTGCATGGAACCGATCGGCCTGGATTAACTCCACCAGGCTTCTGCACCATGGCTCTGGCTCATCACAAAGGAACCAATTTGCGACGCGCTAATCCTCCAGTAGGCAACAATGACTGTGATTAGCTTCATAGAAGTTGCCGCTGGTAATCCAAGTGGGCGGAATAATCCTCCAACAATGGCCAGACTTCAATTTATGTTGCCTATTGTGAAACCCTGAGTCACCAGTTTGGACCGATTGGGGCGTCACGCTTCAGTGACCGGGTGGCTTCTGGTTTCGTACCGATTGGGGTGAAAGAAATTAGCATACCGGACCCGGTACCCGAACGGTCTTTAATCTGATGGCTCGCCAAAGATTTGAGGCTTTGCATGGTGGAGATACTAATGGATGGAAGGTTTGCGGAAACACCATATGCGAATAATTTCTCAACTAAGAGAATGGTTCTGAAAAGAACCAGAGGTATAAACTCGACGTTCCGGTCAGTATGCTCTGACCATCTTCAGGAGAGTGCCTAAACTCTAAGAAAGTAACTGTGGGGATGCCAAGTAGCTTGGAGTCTAGAGCAAGCTTGGTGTGCCCACTAAAGTGGAACAGTAGAGTTGAGTATACAGTGTTTATACGTCGGTGAAGGGCAAAACTTAATTTGAATTAGTGTTTAATTTACCTGTGAAGCAGGTAAGGCTTACATCGAACCTGTGATCGCACACCTCGTAATACGGGAACCATCCTAACTTCAAACAATCATCTAGAGTCATCATCTCCTGCAATTGGCCACATATCATCAGCTGGAACCAGATGGGACCGGTGGCCTTGCCAAACTCCCCGCTTGCGGTTGCCGACAGGAGGGCGGGGAAGCCGAGTTGGCGGCACGCCACGCGGCCAATAAGGAATGGGTTCTCGTTGGAGCAGTAGGTTCCCCACGAGTCTTCTCCTGGTGGGAGGACCTCTACACGACCTTCGTTTGGGTAACGCCCGTCTGCAAGACGGAGCCCCATCATATCAGCTAAAGTAAAAAATAAAAAATAACAAACAAGGCTTATTTAATGGAGCTTATAGGTTTGCATGGTGATCATTATTTTGCATGATCAATGGATGGAAAGTTTGCGGAAACACCATGTGAATGATAACTCTTTGTGGGTTGTGCGGTTCTGAGAAGAACGAGTTGCAGGACTCTTGCTGGTGTAGTATTTTTAGAAGTGCATGGGTACGGTGCTAAGTCGTGGATCCGGTACACAACACGGTGCACAAAATACGTAAGTCACATTACTTAATCCATTCGTTATCTTGTTTAGCAAAACCCAGGCTGTCCAAAACTAACTGCTCTTCGTTATTACAGAAGCAGAAGCACCATAGACAAAAAAAACAGTAAGCAAGATTTGAAGCGTAAATATTAGTGTAGGTTTTTTCCGGTCATTTTAACATTTTTATAACACGAATTCCCTATATCGATACTTTCAGTATAATTCAAATTTTTAGCATACCAATTCGTCCTAAATTTGTGAAATTCGTCTCGTGTAGCAATCGGCATTGAATTGACAAAGCAAATTCGGTTTTTTTGTCATTCGTTTTAATGTTGTTGTCATTACATTTCGTCTCTGGTGACTTAAACGTTACGATTAAAAATGTTTCCAATCTTTCGACTTATTTGAAGAATTGCGCGCATTAATTAAATTTTATTTTTTTAACAAAAATTTCCTTATAAATGAAAGTAGTTAGGTGTAAGTTTTGATTTTTTTTTACAATTAACATTAGAATCAGAAAAACAACGTTCACAATTTGCTCTTTGCTTAGCACATGGAAATTAATTATTAAGATCAAACACCTTCGTAAATCGTAATGTTGGTCTTTGATATATGTATATGAATAAAACACAGAAATAAGGTACGTCTATCAAAGAGCAACATTAATAATAATAATAATAATAATAATAATAATCGTATTTATAAAGCGCCTTTTCCAAAGGATACAAAGCGCTAGGGGAGAATGCAACCAAAAACCTAAATGTGAATATCCAATAAGACTATATGAATACATGTATCACAGCAGAATCAAATGCACATAAGAAGGTACGATTGAACAGATGTGTTTTTAAGAGTCCCTTAAACTGCTCTACAGATGAAGCGTTCCGGATAGTAATGGTGAGTGAGTTCCAGCTACGGGGACCAGCGATGGAAAATGCACGGTCTCCAAACTTCCTGGAGGATCGAGGTACCACCAGATTGGATTGTGATCGAAGACCTTCACGTTTGGGTTTGCTGAAATCAAATGTGTCCGAAATGTATGGCGGGAAAGTGTTGGATACAGTTTTGTACATGTTCAGTGCCGTCTTAAAAGTGATCCGCTGGTTGACTGGAAGCCAGTGGAGATCCAGGAGCAGATGTGTGACATGGAAATACTTCGGCTTCATATGGATCAGTCGAGCAGCCTTGTTTTGGAGTTTTTGAAGGCGGTTGAGATCGTGTTGCTTAAGTCCGGTGAGAAGAGAGTTGAAGTAGTCAAGGCGTGGGAGTATATGTATACCAGTGCACGAACAACAGAATGACAGGTGTCGTAGTCCATTAAGAAGGTGTTAAGTGCGTATTGTGCAATGTCTATTCCTGACTCTAATGTTACATGTAATTGTGAAATACAGAAATACAAATTCAAACCTTTCAGCTAACTACTTTTATTTATACACACAAGAAAATAAATGTTGAAATCATCATTGTTTTAATGCGCACAATTCTTCAAATAAGTCTAAAGATTGGGCGCATTTTCTTATCTAGGTCTTCCCCGTTATTTTAACACTTGTACCACACGAATTTCCTATTTTGATACTTTATTATCGTCCCCGAACATGGCCAAGCTCAATTCTCAATTTGAATTTCAAAAAGCCACCACTAGATTTCATTTAAGGTTCAATGTAGCAATCGGCGTTGAATTGAAATAGCAAATTCGTTTTTTGCATTCGTTTTAATGTTGTTGTCATTACATTTCGTTTCTGGTGACTTAAAACGTTACGATTAGAAAATGTTCCCAATCTTTGGACTTATGTGCGCATTAATCAAATTACAATTTCAACATAATGTTTCCTTATAAACAACAGAAGTTAGCTGTAAGTTTTGAATCTCATTTTCTGTGTTTCAAAATTACATGTAACATTAGAATCAGGAATAGACCTTTCACAATATGTTCTTTACTTATGAAATGCAAATTAAGCATTAAGATCAATCAGCTTCGTAATATTGCTCTTTGATAGACAAACCTTACTTCTGTGGTTTTATTCATTTATATATATACACATCAAAGAGCAAAATTACGAAGGTGTTTGATTTTAATGCTTCATTTTCATGTTATACGTAAAGAGCATAATGTGAAAGGTCTATTCCTGATTGTAATGTTAATTGTGAACACAGAAAAGAAGATTTAAAACGTACAGCTAACTATTTATACATTATAAGGAAATGCATGCATGGCATGCCTTACACAAGCTTTTGCTTTTTAGGTTTTGCCTCCTCTTCCGGACTAGATGTTCATATCTGTATTTTTTTTTATTTCTGTTTTGATTTATCATGAAGAGGAAACACATGTTACCGAATGAAATGAATAGAATATATTTTGAAATTATAATTTTATTAATACGCACAATTCTTCAAATAAGTCCAAAGATTGGGTACATTTTCTAATCGTAACGTTTACGTCACAAGAAACGAAATGTAATGACAACAACACTAAAACGAATGACAAAAAAAACGAACTTGCTTTTTCAATTCAACGCCGATGCACGCGAGACGAGTGTCACAAATTTATGACCAATTGGTATGCTAAAAAGTTAAATTATACTGAACCTTAAATGAAATCTAGAGGTGGCTTTTCGAAATTCAAATTGAGAATTGAGCTTGGCGATGTTCGGGGACGAAATTAAAGTATCGATTTAGGGAATTCGTTGTTCTCAGAATATTCAATGACTCCAAATTTTAAAATGATGTTTAAAGGAGGATGTTTTGCTAAAACCTTGCCAGTAGTCAGAAATTGCCGGAGGGGGGGGGGCGTAGGCAAGGTTGGCGTTCCCCCCCCCCCGCAAAGCACCAAAAAATGTAGAAAAAAGGGGGAGAAAGAAAAAAAGGTGCGAAGTCATAGTGCTGTTAATATAAAGGGTTGGGGGAAATGTCCCTGCCCCTCCGAAAAATACAAATTGAGAATTTGCTGGAAAAGTACAGGGATTTCGAGGGAAATGTGCTTTGCCCCCTCTAGAAAAATATCCTGGCGGGTCCAGAACCCCACGCCGTTTAGGCTTCGCACTCGAATTAGTTCGCATCAGGATACACAAGTTTGTACCGCCCCCACCCCCATCCCCCCCACAGCCCCACTATTGAGAGGCGATGATTGACGCCCTTGGTGCCAACAGGCTTTTAGAGCTAGTACCAGTTTGATCTTGCCTAATTCGTACAGTGGTTTGTACGCTGAATTTGGTGCCGGTACCTAGGGCGGAGAAAGGCCTACGGAACACTAGTGCCTAGGGCCTACGAAACACTTAATCCGGGCCTGTATTTATTTAGAGTTGATCACTTCAGCATCGAAGTTAGTGTTGAAGTTTGTGTGCTTCTACGAGTCCATGTTCGGTTAAGATCTGAATGAAAAAAATAGCGCAGCTAAAATTCCATATTAATGACGTTATATTGACCTTCCGTTCAGTTGCATAGATTGGATCCAATTAGCAACATGGGCACTCATTTTCCGGGGGCACTCAAAGGATTTAATAAATATTTTTCCATTCAAAATAAGCCAATCTCTGTTTTCTTCCCCCGAATGTTAAGCAGATGGTAAAACGGGGCGGCAGACTTTAATGATGCCACTGATGGAATTTTGGGTCGAGTTGGATCAAACGTTTCTTTCTTTCACAGACAGTCTAAAATCTTTCCAAAAAAAGGCCAATCTTGTCATGGTAGTCTGTTCAGTCCCGTTGTGCCTCATGTCAACTTTCAATTTCCAGCAGGAAGACAAACTTATTCACAAGCTCAACAATTTAAGCAACCCGGATTGTTTTATATTTGGAATACACAAACATACCTGCAGAAACCGCCCGGAAACAGACACATCCAAGCATCGACACCGCCAAACCATACACGAGATGTGCCGATTCCATGGTGATATGCCAGGGCCGATTTACATTGACTTCGCCCGGCCAGAGCTAGCCAAATAGAGTCACTCTGAACAGCGTATCCTTTCGCTTTGACAAGAACGACTCAACATCAATCAATTCAACCGATCGTATAATAACAGAAACAGGGGCGTCAATTATAGACCAGACGGTGGTTGGTTATATTTATATAAAATTATGCGCGCATGCGTATAAGCGGGACACGTTATAACATGGAAGCGCGAACGTATTTTTTTCTTGCAAATTTTTTTGGCTGTTGTAATAGGCAGAAATCATATAATTCATCGGCGGGTCTGTATAGGGTTAGCCTTTCGCAATTGGCTTAGAGCGGCGGAGCTGCGAAAGCACGAAGCGACTGCAGCAAAGATTAAGTCAGCACGCAGTTTCGCTGCTTGTCTGATGCCAGCAAGTTAAGCACGATGGCCTTGGCGAAAGGCTAGTATAGGGTGTGTTACGCCGGCAGACAAAACACATAGGAGTTAATATCTTTCTTTTCTTTGCATACCAGCAAATCACGTGCAATAGTCAATCTGATCATTCTGATGACATGTTCATTAGACGTTGGCATGCAATGTATATTTTTTTAACCGACGCATTATATAATAACTGTTAGCATTCTTATTCTGTGTTAATAGGTACCTCATTTCGAGTTGGACGGAATGTTCAAACTGGCAATTCAACATGATAGTTTCGTGGGTTTCGCCATTCAACGATTATTTTTTTTACAAATTCTGCGGGTTTGTGTTTGGATGAATGATACATCATATTAGCCCATCTCTATTTTGTTATTTAGTACTGATGTGATAGTGATTTACTACATGTTGATTCAGCCGTGTGGTTGCTAAGGCCTAAGCGTCACCGTTGTTAAACAATGCTAACCCGGCCCTACCCCCTCCCCCTCAAATGAAAACGGAACACCCCTACACCATCCAGAGATCTCTGGAATGGCCTCTTCGGTTCAATGCAGATTGTCACCCACAAAATAATTAATGATAAATAACTGTAAAAGATGGTAAGGCTCATAGCCAAAGGGATTTCATAATAACTGTAATTAATAATAATGGTAAATATGCAAAAACAATGTTTTGACTGTATACTTATGTGCAATGTTTTCTTACAACCTAGTTTTTTGAAGCATTACTGATTCAAATCCATAAGGCAGACCTGACTTTTTCCATCAATGTAAATAACTGATTTACATATCACTAAATAGTCTTTGATGCCAAAAATGCCATAATTTTTTTTTTTTTATTGTTTTGGTAATTAAGTAGGAAATTATGCAGCAAATGACGCTTTAGTCACATTCATTGTTGTAAGTATTTTTCCAAAGTACCACTGAAATTGTCCATGTGATGCTGAAAAATTACTGAACTATGTCGTTTATTCAAATTAAACAAGCTGTCTATAACTGATGGAATTCCAAAGATTTTGTAATTATGGGAAATGTCATACATGTAATACGACAAAATGATTTTTCAAGGCGTTATTTTTCCAAAATACAGGGCTTGAGGAACTCTTTGAAGATGACAAAATTATATCATTAACCAACATGAAGTATCTTGACGTCAAAAGTGTCATAATTGTAAGGCTTTCATGGTAAATAAAGTATGAAATTATGCAAAACATAACGCTTAGGCCGTAGTATGCAATGTTTTATGCTGACAAATTGATTTTTTTCAAGGCACCACTGAATTCAAATTCCACAAATGTGAAGCTGAAAGACTATTGCAGATAACTGAATTATGTCATTAACCCGAACTGTCTAGACGGAGTACCGGCATAAAAGCGGAAAATTTGAGGGACAGAATTAACGGTCCCCAGCCAGCCGAACTCCAACACAGGGTTGGTTGGAATATGTTATTAGGATCAGTACCGCACTTGTATTACGTTGGATAGGGTATGCTGTGGGATTATAAGGGTGATAAAGGTTCCTAGTAAATCACCCTAGGGGTTAGGGTTGATGCAATGTGAAAAGTAAAAACTCACGTTGCCGACTGCATCTATTTTTGCGAGCATCATCTTTCATTTCTGTTTGATGGTTTTTTTTTTCTCAGGGCCGATTTACATCGACTTCGACCGGCTATAGAGCTACACAATAGAGTCACTCATACATCCTTGCGCTGGACTGAAGAGCAATCAATGGGAGACTTTTCAGACGTTGGTGGCGGCAAACGTACCGGTCCTATTTTTCCATTGTTTGCGTCGTATTGAACAGGAGCGCTTTAGCTTAAACATGACGTAAACAATTGAAAAGGACCGGTGGATTTGCTGCCACCAACGTCTCAAAAGTCTCCCATTGAAACCGATTGTATAATTACAAAAACGGGGTGTCAACTAAAGACTGATTTTTTTGTATAATTATATAAAATGTATAGAAGGGGCACGTACAGCATGGTAGCCGAACGTATTTTTTTCTCGCAAATTCTATTCGCTGTTGTGGGAAAAACTGATACGGAGCAACATCGGTGTTGAATTGGGTCTGTAAAAGGGTAAGTTTCGCTAGACAAAACATACTGGAGAAAAATTTTAATTGTTCCTTTTAAATCACGCGCAATAGTCAATCTGATGACATGACTCAACATCCAACAAGGCAACGATTAATGTTTCCATTATTTTCTCCAAGTGTCATTTATTTCAGATAAACTCCCGCCCCTCAATTTTACTCCTCTCCTTATCAACTTGTTTTATCGCCCCGCTTTCCCATTTACACGTATTACTCTCCTTTGTTCCCCAACATCATTCCTTCCTTCTAACAACTTCTGTTCCCTCACCTTCTGCATACTTGTGTGTCCCCCTACTTCTTTGTCTCCTGTTCCTCTGTCATTTGCCTCGGAAGAAGTCCTTGCCAAGGACGAAATACTAGGCTGCTCTACTTTTTTTAACTTGACATGTATATTCATTAGACGTGATGGGCATCCAATGTTTGTTAACCGACGCATTAGCTGTCACTGATAATACATTGATCATGTTGTCGGTTTTGAACAACGCTCTCGTTGGGAAGATGGTGTCCTACAAACCACCTCCCCCCCCCCCCCCCCCTCCTCCCGGCACATTTTGATTTTACTGAGGCCTGGTGTGCGGCGGAAAAAAAACCTGTCTATATACCATTCAGCACGAATGAAATTGCCCCCAAACGCTGTAACATCCGCCCTCCCCCTCCCACACACCCTCCCACTAGCATAACAACCCTGGCTACGCCGCTGTCTTTGGGGCCAACAAAAAGCCGTAAAGAAACCCGTGAAACTCCTTGTTGACGTTACCCAGTCTTCTCCATTAGCTCCCTGTAGCTATATTATTATTTCGTGATGACACCTTTCATTTCGGAAATTGTGGCCGTGAATCGAACGTTCAATATCAAAATCTCATTGATTCAGTTATCCTGCTGCGATGTACCAAAGGTTCTTTTCACAAACAGCTTCTTTTTTTACTAACAGCTCACATTTTTTTTCGAACGAGGTCATAATTGTGATTGGATTCTGCCGTCAAGTGTGATTAGTATTGATCGAACAGAAAGTCTCATTTTCTCTCATTACACCCCTCACTTCGTATTGACGTACGGCCTGTCCCTGATATCTTTCTAAAATGTGAAATGTGGCCTAGCTGCCATTCACTTCATTTTACGAAAGACCTCAAAATATTGTATTTTAAGTACAGTGATAGACAACCATTGTAACACCCAAGTCCACTGCAGTGTTACTTCGTGAAAATATCTACATGACAAAATTTGGTTTCACGAAGTAACACCCAAGTGTGCGCGAATATCGGACACTTGCGCGAACGATTTACAACGCTGTTACGGAAATACAAATTGGATAGAAACGTTTTAAAACGTTAGACAGGAATGTTATTAATCCGCATTTTTGGTGGATTACAGAAAAAAATTTTTAAAAAGCTTTTTAAACTGGTGAAATAAAGATGGGTGTTACTTCGTGAAAACGAAAATCACTCGGTTCTGTAAAATATGCATGCGTAGCGCGCACTGAAGTTCATTCGGTTGTTATCTCATGGCGCAGTTGACGAACTGTTAAAACAAAACTAAACAGCCAATTTGTTACAACGTGAAATATAATAATTTGTCCCGTAATATAATTACTGAAGCGACCGATGATGTAATAATTTTCGACCCATAATGTAAAACGTATGAATTCGCTATAGAATTTCGGAGCATTTCGAGAAAGTTAATGTTTTGTGACCTTGCTGCGTGATGGGGCTGGTCTTCGATAACCGTTTGTTTATGTCAAGTGTCTTTGTCCTGGAAAGTAATTCTCCGAGACTTTTCCTGCAAACATTACACACGAACTTGAACTTGGAGTTACTCCATCATTAAATACACAACATTTTGCACAAATGGTATCAATATACAAAATGTTATGACGTTGTCAAAATAGGAGTTATGTGGAAATCAAATGAATAAAATATCAACTGCAATTCATTCTGAATCGAGGTCGTCCTCGATTTGGACCCTGTCCTCGATTCAAAGATGATGTTGCACGTGTGTGCCCTCGATTCACACCATAAACAAACGCACCCACACACATGCACACACACAGTCGTGTTTTGCTATATATGCTTCCGAGGATTGGCTTTGTGTTTTCCTTTGTTCCCTTATCTAAACCTTTCCCATAGACTAAGCGCACAAACCGGCATTTGAGGACAATAGGCACCGTCGTCCGAGGATGAAAGGCCCCTTTGTGCTCCTGTTGTTGTCTCTCCTCGAGCGTAATACAATACAAGAGCATGTATATTTGCCTGCAATCGGGGACCCCCCATTGTCCCTCTTTTGTTTGTACACTAACTTTTTAGGAAGACCTCCAATATGTTTTGTACACGAATCTAACTTGGGGACCTCTCGGAAACTGGGAACCCTATTGTCCTCTAAGCCTCCTATTGAATGCAGAAACAAACTCACATGCACCCAGTGTTCTCTTAAGCCGACCCCACGGCCGCCACACCGAAATCATATCGCCTAATTGTCTCTTAACTCACACCACAATACAGGGCGGTTTTTTGTTTCAAGTGATGACGTCTTAATGCATGTTGTTAGTTATGCATACCCTTATCAACATGTGTTTTATTATTTATTATTTAAAAAAAATGCCTTTTTGTTATACCCACTG